CTCCTCCCCAGCAGGGAATAAACATCTGTGGCTGCCTGCTGTTTCTCAGTGCTGGAACTTCCTTGGCACTCTGGGGAAAACACGTGCCGAGATGCAAAACGAAATAGCTTTTTTTTTTCCTTTTTCCCCCAAGGCAGAACTTGGCTCATACACGTGCAGCGCACGTTGGTGACGTTGGGACAAGAAAGGCTTGTGATCCCACCGACCAAGGATGTCACTTTCATCCTAGTGTAAGGGGTTGGGGGTGGTGAAGTCCCTCCAGCCCATTTTCAAGGTGTGTGCACGCGATTATTCAATCTGTGAGATGAAGGAGGGGTTTGTGGTCCCCTAATGAAGGGGCTCAGACGTGCCAACGATCATGAAGATAGCGCAGGATGGGGCAACATTTCCTTCTGTTATACGTAAGGTCTCCGTGAGTCAGAGACAACTCGAAAGCAACTAACAACAACAACAGTGAAGGGGCAGGATCCTGAGAGCTCATGCAAAGGAGACACTGGAGCTTCCTCAGAGCCATGGCCCAAAAGAGGAAATAAGAGCAGCATGGCTGATATCGCCTTCACGCCAGGAGGAGAGTCTGAGACCGCCAGCCCCTTCGCCCTCCCTCCTTCCTGCCCACACCACAGCTCAAGGGCAGGCGTGAGCACGGACAGTCTACACTTGACTCCCATCTTTTCCACTTGGGTCTGTGGGACTCTGAGCAGGTGACCTATCCTCTTTCTAGGTCTCAGTGTCCTCATGTGTAAAATGGGAGGATAGCAACGATACAGGGCCGGTGTGAGGGTTAACTGAGACGACAGTGCACTGCGGGGGCCGCTGTGGACTCTGCATGCTAGGGTTGCGTGATGGAGCTTTCATTTTACAAACAAGGCCCAGAGAGGGAAACTGACTTACCCAAGTTACACAGCTCAGCTTGTTAGAAGATATCTCCAGACTGATCAGCTCTCAACCGACCACAAGCTACTCAGGAATTGCAGATCAGAACATACTGGTAACAGTAACAACAACAGGCTAGGCTCTGTGCTAAATGCATTATGACATTTTCTTATAACAGCTCTGCAAGGTGCATTGGAACTAATATTTCCATTTTACAGATGAAGAAGCTGAGGTTCAGAGAGGTGAAATAATTCGCCCAAAGCCACATACAGCATGTGTGAAAGTGGCACCAAAAATACCAGGCCACACAACGCCAAACTCCATTCTCTTTATCACCACGCCCTACTGCCTTCCTGTACGTGTTTCATTTCAGCTCCCCAATAGCTCAGTGGAGCCCTGGTGGCACAACAGTTAAGCGCTTGGCTGCTAACCAAAAGGCTGGCAGTTCAAACTTACCTAGTGGATCTGTGGGAGAAAGACTTGGCGATCTGCTTCCGTAAAGCTTACAGCCAAGAAAATCCTATGGAGCAGTTCTGCTCTGACACATGAGGTCACTACGAGTCGAAATCCCTCAACGGCACCTAACAACAACAGCTCAGTGAAGTGGGTTCTGTTATTATTTCCACTTCACAGATGAGGAAACTGAGATGCCGAGAGGCAATGGGATAAAACCAAGGGCTGCACAGTTCATCAGTGGCAAAGCTGTAATCTGACTGTGCTCTTGATTATGTTACCACTCTGTTTCTGTGAAACCTTGGGTTTATATATTGTATCGTATCCTATTCTATCATTATATTTAGCAACAGAGTGGCTGAGATGCGATTTCAGGCCAGCCCTTGCAATCCCAGGCCTCAGGCTCAGACATGACTCTTTAGAACTGCCCTGCCCTTCCCCGCCCATCCCACTAGACATCCTCCTGCAGAACTCATGGTGGTTCATTTTCACTTTGGGTCTTGAAAGACACAAACACCCGTGGCCTCCAAAGGCCAAACAGCCCACGGCCCAATCCAGCCAAGCCCATAAATTAAATATGAGGCTGTAACAAGCCCGCTGCTCACACTACCTTACCCACGTCTAATATTAAGGCTTCTGGCCCAGCCCCTGCTCAACACCCAGGGGCCATCTTCCCTTTACCTCGGCCCAGGGGGAAACCTTAGAAACCCTCGCAGCCAGAAATACCCCTAATGATACTGAATCCCTGGATTCAGTTGCCTGTTAGGAGCAGTTTGTACAGGAAGAAAGCCAACAATGAGAAAAACAAATGATGGTGAGGCCCTTCCTTCCATGTCCGTGGTCCCTGGCAAGAGCTGCTTCAGAGGCTGAGGGGCTTTCTGGGCAGGGAGAGCGACTACCTGCTTGGCACAACCAACTCACAGCCCAAGAGGAATAACAACAAGCCCTCATGTCCAGGCGGCCCCGAGCAGTTCGAGTAGCCTCTCACCATCAGTAGCTCATTTATTCATGAAGACGGTTGTTGACATTCAATTACAGTCTGTTGAGCACCTACTACGTGTCAGGCCTGGGTGCTGGGGATGTAGAGAGGAGCAAGATAGAGTCCCTGCCGCCACGGAGCTCACGGTCGAGCGGCCACAGGCAATGGCAGTATGGGGGAATCCCAGCACAGCTACTTTCCTCTCTGCACCTTAGTTTGCTCATCTGTAAATGGGCATAGTAGCAGTACCTACCCCACAGAGCTGTAGTGAGGACGAAATGGGTGAATACAACGAACGGGCTCAGAACCGAGCCTGATACACAGAAAGCACCATATGCGTGCATGTTGGCCATTACCATCAGGGCTGTGATGAGGAAGCAGAGAGGGCTAAGGAGGGACTGAGCTGTCCAGCGTGCCACCTGAGAAGATAATGATGTCAGGTTAAGAAAAGGCAGGCAGATGGAAGGACCAGCAGTGGCAAACACTCAGAGGTAGGAAAGAGCTTGATGGGTTTTGGGGACAGAGAAGAGGCTAAGGTGACTACAGCATGGTGCCTTTTGATTTTATTCTAGAGGCGATGGGGAGTCACAGAAGGTATCTTTAAGGAGCTGATGTGACCAGATTTGTGTTTCAGGAAGAACCTTCTGGCTGTGATGTGGAGGATGACACAAGAATCCAGGCCAGAGCCAGAGATGGCATGGATCAGAGTAGCTGTAAGTGGGGGTACAGGCATGAAAGACTCAAAGAAGGTAACTGACGGGACATTCGATCATCGGGGGAATGGAAGGGGTCTGTCTCAGTGTCTGGAACACTGCCTGGCACACAGTAGGTGCTCAGTAAATCTGTGGGTTGAATGACTGTCGAGGGTGAAGGAGCGGGAGGGCCTGAGCATGGCAACATGGGCACCCGTCAGGGTGTGGGTGTTGTCGGGGGGATGCAGGGCTGGGTGAGATGTTGAGGCCCCTGGGATATGATACTATGATAGGCCTGTTCATTGCCCCCTCCATTTTCCAGAGCTGGAAACAGTGACTCAGAGAGACAAAGCAACTTGCCCAAGATCATGCAGCACAGAGGGGACAGATATTGGACTCCATGTCTAGTGCTCTTTGGATCACTGCTCAGGGGCTTGTTGAGGGACGGAGGGAATATACTCAGAATCATGCCAGGTTTCATTTCACTGCTTAGAGACTCTGGCTTTTCCTCAAAGTAGAAAACTAAAGGGGTGTCTTCATTTCTCGCTGTGAAATGGGAGTGCTCTGACCTTGAACTACCCACCCCACCCCACCACAGTCTCCCAGTGCAACCGCCGCCAACTTCAGGGGCAATTTAATCTCTGGGTGTCCAGTTCCCCAACACACTACCAGGAAAGAGATCAGTAGGGTGATTGAAGCATTAGCATAAATTATTGACCCAGAGCTTGATGGCCGCCCGAGGACTCTGCGTGTAGCCCATGCTGGACCCACAACCTCAAACAACTAGTGGGTTCAAGTCATGAGGAGAACGCAGAAGAAATTCCGAGTGTAAGATGTTGGTGGCTTGGTGTTTCAGTGCTTCGGATGAGCCTACTGCAGGTTACAGGATCATTCTGGAAGAATTAAATTTGTATTTGATTTCCCTACCTGTTTCTCTCTTCCTCTTTTGAAGCAATGCGGCCAGGCCTTTTGAGATGCCGGATCTCAGGGATATGTGCAGGGCAGGAGACAGAAGCAGCCCACAAGTCAAAGGCTGCCCTCGTCCTTGGAGGGAGCCGGGGCAGGGTCTCAAACTCAAATGCCTACAGGGGCCAAGGAAGGTAGAGGGGGGCCCATGTAAGTTGATGAAAGAATGGGAGACTCCACACCCTTCTGAGAGGCCAGCACCTGGTACTCAGCTCCAGCCCATTGTTGCCCTAGATATCCCAATTTTTCAAGAGGTATTAGACATCCAGATTTTTATATAAAAGATACCGCTTTCTGTACCAGTGCCATTGCCATCAAGTCGATTTCAACTCACGGCGACCTCATGTGTGTCTGAATAGAACTATGCTCTACAGGATTTCCAATGGCTGATTTTTCAGAAGTAGATTGTCAGGTCTTTTTTTCTGAAGTGCCTCTGGGTGGACTTGAACCTCCAACCTTTCGCTTAGCAGTCGAACACTTAACCATCTGCACCACCCAGGGACTCCAGATTCCACTTTTTAAATGTTGGAAGCTAAATTAATTAATTTTTTTAAAACCCACGCAGCAAGCCAAAGAAAAACATCTGGAGGGCTCCTTCACCCTTACAACTGTCTGTTCGCAAACTCTGTCGAAAGTTCATTGATGAGTTTGCAGCGGTGTCCCAGGGAGGAGGATGGGGGTGAAGAAATGACTTTTCTGAGAGACAATGAATAGGCTGGAGATCACAGACAAGTCCACAGCAGTGCCCAAGGGAAGCGACTAGACCCTTGGTGCCAGAAGTACCGAACAGGGCTGAGGCTCCCCCACTCCAATCTGGGCCCAGAAGCAGCAGAGCTTCCACACTTGAGCAAAGCTGTGGATGGATGAATGGGTTTGTTGATGGAGACCAAGTAAGACTCTAGGGGTATCTGTTTATCTCAGGGTGAGTGAACCCCAGTAATGACCAAAATTAAGTTTCCTGTAACCCAGTAGGGTAGAGACTCGAAAAGTCCAGCTTGAATTAATTTAAAGAGATTTAAGAAAGTTGATATTTCTGGCACACCTGAATTTGGGGGCTTAAACAGATTCCTTAATACCCACTACCCACACCCGTCCACCTCAATGGAATTCAGCAATCTGTCAAATCAGGTTCTTAAATGTGCTAAGTACTTAAATAGACAGGCAGGACCTAGATTCCAACCCATTCTTAGAAAGGTTCTGCTCAAATCCAACCAGAATTCATTCACTGATGCCACCACTACTGGGTCCAGCTTACAGGGAAACTAACATGTGTGACGCTCCTACTATGTGCCAGCTATGTCACAAGTATTGTTCTAAACGATTCTAACAGCTACTATTGGTTGGGCACTTACTAGGTTCTGAGCTAACCTGACTGGTCAGCCTGTGAGTCAGCCGTCATACAGCTCAGAGATACCCAATGGCTGGTGTGAAGTGGCCGTAAGTGGCACAGCCAAGACACGGACCCAGGCCTGCCCGTCCCCAGAGAACATGCCTCTCCTCCCACACTTCGCAATGAATCAAGTCTACTGCCCTCGTTTCTCTCCATCTGACAATCTATTCACTCCAGGCAAAGCCAATAAAAAATGATATTTTTTGTTCATGTGGAATTTTTAGAGTCTTGGCAAGCATTTAGGAAGCATCTCAAAAACAGTTTCAAAATACTACATTTGAACAATATTTGAACTACACCAGATGGCTTGTTGGTGCAGAACAGTGCAGGGAGAGTAATGGGGGCTGAATGTATATTTCAAAGACCCTGACATGGCACCTCGTACGTGGGGACTTCAAAAGTTCCCTACACCCCCTGAACAGCCCAGGAGAGGCACAGGCTGTTATTGGGTGGTCTACATCTTCTACAGACAGCTTGGGAGGGGGGATGATAACAATAACAGTCGTCATTGTTCGTTTATGGACCATTATGTGCCAAGCACTGGGCTATGCACTCCCCGTGGATTATCTCATTTAAACCTTACAACAAACCTATGAACTAGGTACTATTATTATCCCCATTGTACAGATGAGGACACTGAGGCTCAAATGGGTGAAGTAACATGCCCGGGGTGACACAGCTCGTAAGCGTTGGAGCAGAGATTTGGACCCAGGTCTGTCTGACTCCTAGAGCCCACATGCCCACTGATAAGTTTTCTGTGGGCTTCTAGTCCTGTGGGGTGCCTTTCAGTAAGCATTGACCTCTCGGGATTACCATGCACATCATATTGCCTTCTCTTCTGTTAGTCAATCAGTCATTCAGGAACCAAATAATATATTGAGTCCTTATCTAGGCCTGGTGTGATGGCTACAAGGCTGAATAAAAGTCTGTCTCTGCCTTTAAGAGCCATGATGTGTGCATATGGTGTAAGTGAAGCACAGGAAGAACAAGTAATGCCGGTTCTGGAGTTGGGGGAGCCCCTATAGTGCCCCTAACAGCACACTATACTCCAGTTCTTCTCCATGATGCCAAAACTTACCCAACCTGTGTCCCAGTCTCTCGCAACTAATGTACCGGTGGGCTCACAGAAAAATATACCACGTCTGAGCTAGAGAGACCTTAGGAATCTTTCAGCCTAACCCCAGTGTACAGATGAGGAAACGGAGGCCTCGGGAAAGAATGAGACTTGGCCAAGAACACACAGCAGAACCAGAACCCAAACCTAGGTCTCTTCACTCCTATCTCAGAATTCTTTCCACAATATCACCCTGCAGACTGCAGCCTGGAATTTGGGGCATGTTTGCCATGCAAGCAACATATCTGCTTTTTAACTACCAAACCAGTTGCCCTCAAGTTGACTCTAACTCATGGCACCCCCATGTGTGTGAGAATAGAACTGGGTGCCATAGGGTTTCCCATGACTGATTTTTTTTGGAAATAGATCACCAGGCCTTTCTTCCAAGGCACAGCTGGGTGGCGTCAAACCTTTCAGTTAGTAGCCGAACATTTAACTATTGGCACCACCCAGGAACTTCTGCTTTTTAAAAGGAGACTTTAATATGGCGATCCAGAGTTCTCTGCTGTGTGGTATACTCATTCTCATAGTGTTCCATGAGGCATTTTTAGGGGGCTCACAAATAAGCTTTTCTTAAAATGTTAACAGTTATGTAATTATTTTAATGGGAAAAGTAAGAAAAAACATAACCAAAAAAACCAAACCAAACCTGTTGCTGTCGAGTCAGCTCCGACTCATAGTGACCCTACAGGACAGAGCAGAACTGCCCTATAAGGTTTCCAAGGAGTGGCTGGTAGATTCGAACTGCCGACCTTTTGGTTAGCAGCCAAGATCTTAATCACTGCGCCACGAGGGCTCCAGAAAAAAACGTTAAGTGGATGTATTATCACTTAGGACGAAGCTGAGTTAAATAGTGAGTTGATTTAAAGTCCATTTAAAGAAAAAAACGTGGTTATGGGGCAATTCTTGAAAGTGAATCCAGAAGTGGCGGAGCCTAGGAATGTCATCAGTCCAAAAAAGACAGAAATGAAGGGGATCTGGAGCTGGATGACTGGAAGCATGCCGGTGGGAAGATAACTTCCCTCTGAGAAGCTTCCTAGAAATCTTTCGTGATAGACAGAATAATGGCCCCCAAAGGCGTCCACATCCTAAATCCCAAAAACAAACTAAACTCACTGCCATCAAGTCGATTCTGACTCATAGCGACTCTATGGGACAGAGTAGAATTACCCCATAGGGTTTGCAAGGCTGTAATCTATAGCACTGCTATGAGTCAGAATCGACTTGACAGCAATGGGCAATCTTTAAGGAAGCAAACTGCCACATTTTTCTCCTGCTCCTAAACCCCAGAACCTGTGAATATGTTACCTTACATAGCAAAAGGGACTTTGCAGTTGTGATTAATTTCAGAGTCTCGAGATGGAGAGATTGTCCTGGATTACCTGAGTGGGCACAATGTAATCACAAGGGCTCTAAAAAGGGAAAGAGGGAGGCAGGTGGGCAGGGGCAGATTATTCAATAGGCAAGGTAAGCATGGTGCTTACCTTGCTTAGCGGATCATCTATCTGTAGTGAACATTTATTCCCCACATCAAAGATTCTGCTTCTAGGTATGGCTGGCATCTGTCTCTCTCCCAACCCCACAGCACCTTCCTACGGAATCAAACCTCTTTTCAAATTTACAGTCCCTGACAGGGACGGGTTACCCAGTAAGCAAGGTAAGCATGGGCTTACTTGTGCTTACTGCGTAATCTGTAGTGACCAATTTCACATGGGTTTCACCACATCAAAGATGTGAAACTGGTCACTACAGATTAGGAAATAAACACAAGTAAGCCCGTGCTTACCTTGCTTACTGGGCAATCTGACCCTACAGGTGGGTCAGAGTCAGAGAAGGATATGTGAAGATAGAAACAGATCAGAGTGATGCAATTATTGGCTTTGAACACAGAAAGGAGCCAAGAGCCAAGGAATGCGAACCACCTCTTAGAAACTGGAAAAGGCAAGGAAACAGATTTTCTCCCAGAGCCTCCAGCGGAACTCAGCCCTGCCAACACCTTGATTTTAACCCATGAAATCTGTTTTGGACTTCTGACCTTGAGAAGCGTGTTGTTTTAAGCCATCATGTTTGTAGTAATTTGTTACCACAGCAATAAGACTAATACACACTTGAACATCTCTCAGGGGCCATTTACTCTGAGGACACATGGGGACCTCTGCTCTGTCTCCCAGGGCCTCTACCTTCTCTTCTTCAATAATGACAAGAATACTTTCAACTTATTGCCATATCTTGTGTGTTGAACATCATGCTTTGCATAGACTAAGGAGATCCTTTCAGCAATGCATCAAGGTAGGCGGTAGCATCACCCTCATTTTTAAGATCTGCCCCATCTTCCGTGTATCCCTCCAGATCCTCTCTTCCCTTTCTCCTTTCTGCTCTCTGTTTCAGAACTGGTCTGTCAAAACTGGTCTGTCTCTAGCAATCCCACTCCTAGAAATATATCCTAGAAAAATAAGAGCCATACAGAATAGACATGCACACCCATGCTCATTGCAGCATTATTTACAATAGTAAAAAGATGGAAACAATCTAAGAGCCATCAACACATAAATGGATAAACAAACTATTGGTACATACACACAATGGAATACTATGCAACAATAAAGAACAAT